TACAGTATGGTTCACTCTTGGAATTGTATATTCTGTAGAAAAGGTAAAATGACATGTACCCATCATTATAATTTCATCCAGAGTGTTTCCACTACCCTAAAAATCCACCACACTCTGCCTCTTTATCCCTCCCTCACCCCCAGACTCTAGCAACCACTGATCTTTTTACTATTTCCATAGTTTCGCCTTTTCCAGAGTGTTCATATTGTTAGAATCATACAGTGGGTAACCTTTTCAGATTGACTTCTGTCTTTTGGTGTTGAGTATTATTACATTGCCTGGATGTACCATAGCTTATTTATCCATTCACCTACTGAAGGACATCTTGGTTGCTTCCAAGTTTTGGCAATTATGATTTAAGCTGCTATAAACATTCATGTGCAGAATTTTTTGAGTGGACATAACTTTTTAGCTCCTTTGTGTTGATATTAAGGAGCATGGTTGCTTAATCATATGGTACGGATATGGTTAGTTTTGTAAGAAACTGCCACACTGTCTTCCAAAAGGCTATGCCATTTTGTATTCCCACTAACAATGAGTGAGTTCCTGTTGCTCCACATTGTCACCGCATTTGGTGTTGCCAGTGTTCCACATTTTGGCCATTCTAATAGGTTTGTTCTTTTAATTTGCATTTCCCTGATGATATGATGTGGAATACCTTCTGCATAAGCTTATTTGCCGTATGTCATCTGTGGTGAGGTGTCAGTTAAGGTCTTTAGCCCAATTTTTAATCCAGTTACTTGTTTTCTTATTGTTGAGCTTTAAGAGTTATTTCTATACATATTTTTTAAGATTTTACTTATTTATTTGAGGGGTGTTTAGGTGGCTTAGTCAGTTAAGTATCTGCCTTTGATTCAGGTCATGATCTTGGGGTCATGGGATTGAGCCCCACGTGATGCTCTCTGCTCAGCAGGGAGTCTGCTTCTCTCTCTTCCTCTGCTCCTCTCCCCTGGCTCATTGTGTCTCTCTCTCTCTCTCTCTCTCTCTCTCTCTCCTCGCTCTCTCTCAAATAACTAATTAATTAATTAATTGATCAACCTATCTATCTTTAAAAAACTAGATGTGGGGCTTTATCCCAGGACCCCAAGACCATAACCTGAGCTGAAGGCAGACACTTAATTGATAGAGCCACCCAGGCACCCCAGGAGTTATTTGTATATTTTAGATAATAGTCCTTTATCAGATGTGTCTTTGGCCAATATTTTCTTCGAGTCTGTGGCTTGTCTTCTCATTCCCTGACCATTGTCTTTTGCAGAGCAGAGGTTTTTCTATTTTAATAAAGTCCCAGCTTATCAACTATTCATTTCATGGATTGTGCCTTTGGTGTCAAGTCAAACATGTCATATCTAAAAGTCATTGCATACCTAAGGTCACCTCAGTTTTCTCCTATGTTATCTTCTATGAGTTTTGTATTTTCTATCACTACAGTATCCCCAATATTCATCATATTTCAAACCAAGATTATTTCTCTCCCTCCATAATTTTCTTCTTCTGTTCCCTTCCTACTCTTCCTTCCTATGGTTCCTTATTTTAGAGATAATGTCACCAACATCTATGTCATCTCCAAGATTGAAAATATAGGTATCGGGATCCCTGTGTGGCGCAGTGGTTTGGCGCCTGCCTTTGGCCCAGGGCGCGATCCTGGAGACCCGGGATCGAGTCCCCACGTTGGGCTCCCGGTGCATGGAGCCTGCTTCTCCCTCTGCCTGTGTCTCTGCCTCTCTCTCTCTCTGTGACTATCATAAGTAAAAAAAAAAAAAAAGAAAAAAAGAAAATATAGGTATCATCTTTGGTTCTTGTAGTTCTTTTGCCCAATATTATTTTTAAAAAAGAGAGAGAGTAGGGGGAGAGCAGAGGGAGAGAAAGAATCTTAAGTAGATTCCACGCCCACCACAGAGCCTAACATAGGGCTTGATCTTACCTCTCTGAGATCATGACCTGACCTGAAATTAAGACTCAGATGCTTAACGTACTAAGCCACCCACTAAGCCAGGCATGCTTGCCCATTGTTCTTTTGGATTGATTTGTTAATGCTTGTTAGATATTAAGGGTATTGGCTCTTGTATGTGTTATATATGTAAATATGTTTCCCAGTTTACAATTTACCTTTATATATTGTATTTTGTGTGTGTGTGGTATAGCTATTTTAAATTTTTATGTATTCAAATTTTTCAGTTTTAGGTTTCTATGTATTCGGATTTATCAGTAATTTTCTTTATGGTATCTGGGTTTCATATCAAGTATAGAAAAACTCAGGCCATTTTATTCAGTAAACATTGTGATCACAAGTGGTGAGCCTGTGAGCTTTTCAAAAACCTCTAAAAATATTTGAAACCTGAAATAAAATATTTTTTGTTCCAAAAAACAAAAACAATCGCAACATATAAATAATTAAATAGGGCAGCCTCGGTGGCGCAGCGGTTTAGCGCTGCCTGCGGCCCGGGGTGTGATCCTGGGGACCTGGGATCGAGTCCCACATCAGGACTCCTGCATGGAGCCTGCTTCTCCCTCTGCCTGTGTCTCTGCCTCTCTCTCGCTCTCTCTGAATGAATGAATAAATAAATCTTTAAAAAAAATGAAATATTTGTCTATAAATAGAACATTTCAGCTTCATTAATTATCACATTTAATGTTCACAAACATTTTTTAAAAACCCATCCAGTGCTTTGCTGTGTCCTATCCACATGGATGTCAGTGGCTCTCTTATTCAGTCCCTTCTTTATATTCATGCTGACACTGGCTAATTTCAGTCCTCCTAAAATGGTCATGGTCTCCCAATTGGTGTACCTGCCACAAACTTCTAGGCAGTCCAAATCACTCTTTTTGGAATTATCATCCTAACACAGAGGCCAAATCATGCCCCCCCACCACTTATAAATGCAAACTTTAGTAGAGCACTCAAAGCCACACGTCTCAGCATGGCTTAGTAGGGCTCTCACGGCCCTGCATAGTTTGCCTCCAGTCTGCCTGCTCCACTTTTGACTGTCCCTATTGCTTCCCAGAGCCGGGCAGACAGTTCCCTCAGCACTCCTTGTACACTCCACAATGCCTTTCTGTCTCCACTTACCTGCAGATTTACTCTGTCCTTCAAAGCTCAGCTTACATACCACCTACTTGTGTTTTTCCTGATCCCTCAAGTTCTCCACCCACCCCACCCCACACTTCCGTGCAGGTACATGTGTATGTATGTGTGTGTGTGCCACAACAGTTATTCTTTTGTGTCAAGAGTGTCCAATTTACATATTAGTCTCCCAGCTGTTTAAGAAGTTCCACAGAGTAGGAATCTTATTGCATCCTTGATAGGTCTGGTATAGCATGTACTCAGTGAAATGCCCATTGAATCAAACTCCTTACTATACCCTTCTTTCTTTCCCTGTTTTTCTTTTTTTTTTTTTTACCTTTTGTTGTTGCTATTATGTTACATCATACTATGAAAGTGTATATTTATAAAATGTATATGAAGAATTTAAAATGTAACTTGAAAAAAATGTACCCACCACCTACCTTAATAAATGGAACATTGTCAATATCTTTGAAACCCCTTGTGTGCACCTATCCAATCACGTGGCCTTCCTCCCATCCTCTCTCCCTATGATTGAAACTATCCTAAATTTTATATTAATGATTTTCCTTACAGTTTCACTCCATATTTGCCTCCCTGAACAGTGATGTTTAGTTTGGTCTATTTTAAAAATTTTTGTTTAAATGAAATCATACTGTACATATTCTTCTGATTTCTTGCCTTCAACGTCATGTTCTGGAGGTACACTCGTGTATAAAACTATAGTTCATTAGTTTTCAATGTTGTATGGTATTTTATTCATTACTCTGAATGGGCATGTGGGTTGTTTATCATTACAAATGGTGCTGCTACACACGTTCTTGCAAATATCCCCTAGAGAACATGCGCACACACATTTCCATGGAGTATGCCAATAGGAGTTGCATGGCTGCGCTGCAGGGCCCACACGTGTGTAGGTTTAACATGCAATGCTAAGCTGTTGTCCATAGTGACAGCACCGACGTGCACTTCCAGCCACCCGGAAGGGGCTTCCCTCATGCCAGCCTTCTTCAGGGCTTCCTCTTGTCTGTTCTTAATTTCCACCTACCTAGTGGGTATGAAATGGCATCTCCAAGTCTTCATTTTCATCTCCCTACCTACTAATGTGGTTGTTCATCTTTTCATATGTTGATTGCCGTTTCTGTTTCATCTTGTATGAAGTGCCTGTTTTTGCCTCTAGCCCAGTTGTTTCAGTGCATCTAAATTAATAGATCTTTGTTTCCTTGCTGATATGCGATGCCAGCATCATCATAAATCAAGTTTCCATGTATGTGCAAAACGATAGATGGCTCTCCATCCTAGCCCTCCGGTCCGTGTGTCCTTCCTGGAGGCGATACATGCCATCTTCATAATACATTTCCATTTCTCTAGGTCCTTGTCACCTTTCTGTGCCTTGTTTGATTGGGGCCATTTGTTATTTTTTTAAACAAGTCAAAGTTCTGTAGCAGGATGCTCTGATTACTAGGCCAGCTTTTTTTTTTTTTTTTTCATTTACAAATATTAAAGTTTAGTCAGTTACCCAATTTAACCCCTCTTCAAAAACAAAACAGACTCTTTCCTTTTACATTTACAATATTTTTAGCCTTTTGGCGTAGCCTACAAACCTATCATTATTCTGATCAAAGTAAAATAGATAAACACTATTTTTGTTCTTTCCCTCATCCCATCTTTAAGAATAGTCTAAAAACCTCACAGTTTTAAAAAATGTGTTTGTTTGCTTCTGGGCAACCAAAAAAGGTAAATTTGATTTTCCTAACACTTGCAAATCCACTCTAATGGCCAAGTTCTTATCACAAGGCCCGATCACCCACTGGCCACTGTAACATTTCTCACTGTTCAAGATTCCCTATTGCTCAGCACTTGGCTTTCCTAGGGAGTACAGTTGTTTTTCTTTGTCTCACAGTAACCTTGTTTTCATATTTGTCCATTTTCCTGTCAGCTGCTGCCTGTGAGTTTTTGGACATTGTAGAGCTGCTGCTCCAGTCTGGCGCTGACCCCACTCTCCGAGACCAGGATGGCTGCCTGCCAGAAGAGGTGACAGGTTGCAAAGCTGTTTGTTTGGTGTTGCAGCAACACACGACTGGCAAGGCTTAATCAAAAGACTGGAAAACCACAGTCTGTAACAGCATAGAGCTTCAATAATGAAGGAAAACTGCAAAGATAATACTTCTTTTACCACCCATCTTTGGTATACATTGGCTAATAAAATCAGTTCTGAGGAACTGGGATTTTGAAGTCTCAGCAATTCATTCTCCCTGCATCCATTCCAGCAAGTACAGTTTTGGTGATGAACATGTGTACTGTGCATAATACAATTCAATTCTGCTGAGCGTGCGCTGAAATTTATCACTGTTCTAGAGGGTGGGGCAAGGAAGAGACACATCGTATTTCACAATATTAAACATGGCTGCTCTTAAAAAAAATACAGAAGCAAAATATGACTGACAGTGCTACACTGACAATTAGGGAAAGTTGCAGGAAATCCCAGTATGGTAGAGATCCAGTGATCTTGTGGTATATTACACAGCTGGTCTGAATAGGTGGCTGAGATATCTCTTTTTTTTTTTTTAAGATTTTATTTATTTATTCATGAGAGACACAGAGAGACAGGCAGAGACATAGGCCCAGGGAGAAGCAGGCTCCCCACCAGGGGAGCCTGATGAGGAACTCGATCCCAGGACTCGAGGATCACAACCTGAGCCAAAGGCAGACCACTGAGCCACCCAGGCACCCCAATGTCTCTTTTTGGCAGACAGAATTGATCAGATAGAGAAGGAAGAGGGGTGTTAAGAAAAAGCAAGCAAAAGAGAAAGGGTAGAATTTTGTTACAAAAGGGATCTAGAAGTCAGAGGAATAACCAGGTTTACTGAAAACCTTAAAACCTTGGGCATTTTAGAATAAGATTCAGCAACCTCACTGCAGGATCTAAGCACAGATTCCGGAAAATTCACTGGTGAGGTCAGGCTTCCTTAAACTCACCTTCACAAAACCAGGAGGGATTTCCCAAAGGCCCTTTTAATTGGCTCTAATGTCCCCTGTTGTATACTGTCTCTGGAAATGAGCTCAGGCCTGAGCTGGGAGGCTGCTTTGAAATGTGAAATAGCCCATAATGCTCCAGTGCTTCACTATGATTGTAGTTGTTTCTGAATACCGGGAGAGCTTTTATTTTTTAATTAAAAACATAGACGAGTACACCACAATGTTTCTCTAAAGGACAGTCAAGTATGCCACTGTTGAAACTGGCTCCCTGTGTTTTCCCACTTTAAGCCTCAGGAACTCCATCTGGGGAATTCTGTGACATTTCTCATTACATAAGGAAAGCAGATAGTTGTCATAGGAAGAGAAATGAAGTAAAAAATGATTTGAGATGCAAAGATGACTATTTAAAAGATAATTTTTCCACCGTGTCACTATTAAGAAAAGTAATAAACTTGCTTGGTGGAGCCCTCAACAGTGGACACAATTTTCATTAGCTCCAACTAACCTGTCCTTCTGGAACAAGCTCTTTCAGAGCAGAAATGAGGCATATTAATGCTGCTGCTTATTTTGTGATTTTTCTAAGCTAATTTCTTCCTTTCTGAGATGTAATCCAAAAGCATTCACCAAGACTGTTCATTCTTTAAATGGTTTCTTAATTATCTGTGGAAGTGATATGCATGTTAGTACATACTGAAACACTGCTATAATTCTGGTAGAGTTTTCTATTCATTATCTGTTCTTTTCCCATAATCCTAGCCACACTGTAACCTGCTATTAAGCTATCCTCTCTCATGTTTCACATTCATTATATTTTAACAAACATTAATTAGTTAGAGTAAAAGTGACCAAGGTGTTGCATGCAGCTTTCATTAATAGTACTTGGTGCATTTTTAGGACATTAGCAAATCAAAAAGTGTTTCATTCATTTTAGATTTACAGGGTAGTTATTGAAGCAGGAAGCTATCAGGAGCTCCTTTTTTCATTTCTCTTTTGTAATTTGACCTTAAAATTTCTTTAAAAAAAAAAGATGTATTTATTTCAGAAAGAGAGTGTGCAGGAGGCCAGAGGGAGGAGAGAGAGAGAGAGAGAGAGAGAGAGAGAGAGAGAGAGAGAGAGAGACTCAAGCAGACTCCCCATTGAGCACCGAGCCCAACTCAGTGCTCAGTATCAGGACCCTGTGATCATGACCTGAGCCCAAACCAAGAATCGGACACTCAACTGACTGAGCCACCCAGGCGCCCCTGACCTTAAAACTTCTTATACAAGTTTTTTTAACCTGTTTTGGCACATCTAAAACTATATAGATTGTTTCTAAGCAAAGAATATAGCTTGTTTTGTATTCATTTTATTTTAAAGGTTTCAAATTTATATTCAAAGCTATCACTAATAACAGTCATCAAATTTATATTTTCAAGAGCTAAAATCATTTTCCAAAATCTGTATTCTTTTGTCCCTGGTATTTGAATTTTCGAAAACCTTACTGTCATAACAATCTGTGGATCATCTCCCTATGGCTTACGCGAAAGATTTCATCCAGAAATGTTGAGAAAACTGGGTCTTGGTTATTGAATTATGTAGTGCATCACACTTCAGCCAGACCATGAGTTCCACTGGCAAAAGTTGCAGTAGTTCCCACCAAACAAAGAACATGAATTTACTGGAGCAGAAAGCAGCTAACTTTCCTAGATACATGGCAAACCATCTTCAAACCATCTTTTCATATAGTTTAACAGGATAAAACTAGTACATAATTTAGTTTAGCACAACTTTGGTTCCACTATGCATAATTTTTTTCCTGGACAGATTAATAATGTTCAAGCCAATTAATATTTTAAAATATTACAGAAAACCTTTTCCTGAAGGTTCACTTCTGGCCATGACACAAGTATTTCAAAATAATTGTTGGTGTGTTTGCGTTTTTTTTTGGGGGGGGGGTTGGGGGTAACATTTACTGGAATTGGAATTCAATTTACTTCATCCTTGGTTCAAACTCTCTAATTTTATTGTACATAGTATTTCAAAAATTGAGTCTCCACTGTGTTCTCTTTTTTAAAACTTTTTTTTTTAATTTTTATTTATTTATGACAGTCACACAGATAGAGAGAGAGAGGCAGAGACACAAGCAGAGGGAGAAGCAGGCTCCATGCACCGGGAGCCCAACATGGGATTCGATCCCGGGACTCCAGGATCGCGCCCTGGGCCAAAGGCGGGCGCTAAACCGCTGCACCACCCAGGGATCCCCTCCACTGTGTTCTCAAGCCAGAAACTAGTTCAGTTGGAGTGGTCATAAAGTGGTAAATAACTAAAGATATTTGTCTGAGTTATGAGTAGTTACTTTTTGCTACTTTACCATTTGAATTTTCTAGTCTGTTTATAGATTGCCTTTCTATTCTTACCTCATTCTCAATTCTCAAGAAGATAAATTTTCTTATCTTCAGGCCACGTCTGTATGTCTACACATAAAAACATACCTAGCCCCATTTTTCTATGTTCCTAAAAACCATAAAAGGAAATTTGTTGCTTTTTTTCTCTTTTCTTGCCTGAAGATACTGTGATCAGTACAACACGAGTGACTCTTTATTTTTTATTCATGACTGTCATTTACTTTGCTTTCTCCCAACTAATCTAAGAGGCCCTGATTGCCTTCACAGTAGTTTTGGTACACACTAGTGAAAAATGAGGGATAAAAAGAGAACCATGTAAATAATCATTAAAGAGGAGGCAGAGAAAAATATGTGAATCATTGTTATCTTCAGAACGCTTGTTGCTTGAGTCTGCTAAATCAGTGTTTTTAATTCTTGGGGAGTTCCAGATCACTTTGAAAAACCACAAACCTCTTCCCTAGAATACAGTGTTGTGTATGGAATTTTGAAAAGTTCACAGGTCTCCTGAAGCTCATCTGTGGAATCTCCAGGGGTCTGTGGATCCCACGGAGAACCCTTTTCTTCTGACTTCTTGTTACAGTATATCAAGAATGAGAAATCTTTTTTTGATTGACCCTATTTTCATTAAGCGCTCCTACAAAGCGATAACGGGTTGTTGCCATGCCTATCTGAAAGAATGAGAGAAGCACTTTTTTTTTTTTTTTAAGCCACTGGCCAGATTTCAGTGGTATACATAGACTGCAGTTTTATCAGTGATCACCACAAGGGGAAATTTTTAAAGAGACATTTGCCAAAAAGTTGGACTCTGACCTCTTTGACCGCTGGTTGAATGGAGGCTGCTACAGGACAGAAATGAGCCCACATGTTCAATTCTGAGTGACTAGTGATGTCTTTTCATATGCATTTAGCTTTTTTGACTTTTCAGAGTGCTTTCATGACAGTATTTAATCTGTCAGCCCTCCATAGTAATCCTATCCAGTAGGCAGTATAGGTTTTAAGGCCACTTAAACAAGGGTGAATTGAAGATACAAACAGGTTACTTAAATTGCCCAAGATCACAAAGGAGTAATAGAGTCACAGGACCAAGTCTACTGAATCTCAGTCCTGTGTATTAAGACCACAAAACTCATGTAAAGTTTTAAAGCTCTTCCTCTATTCAGCCAACAGGTAATGTATTTTTTGAGTGTCTACTGAATGGCAGACACTACTAGGCCACTATCATCCCCTTTTCCCATTATCCTGGATATTTAGAATGACATGATATTATCTTAAGATATTACATGAGTTATCTTAAAAAGTCTCATAGAAATTCATCAATTGGGCAGCCTGGGTGGCTCAGCGGTTTAGCACCGCCTTCAGCCCAGGGCGAGATCCTGGAGACCTGGGATCGACTCCCACGTCGGGCTCCCTGCATGGAGCCTGCTTCTCCCTCTGCCTGGGTCTCTGCCTCTCTCTCTCTCTCTCTCTCTCTCTCTCTCTCATCAGTGGAATAAATTCTGGGGCCGGTGGGTAGATCCTAGGCTACAAGATTAAGACTCTGGAACAAGGGAATAAAATCTGCCTCAAGTCAAGGCAAAGATTCCTTTCTGAGAAATGAAGTTACTCTGATATAGAAGAAAATCAAGATGCTAAAAATGCTTCCTATTCTCTGTGTGTGTGCGTCTCTCATGAATAAATAAATAAAATCTTAAAAAAATTCATCAATTACTTATGAAAAACTATTTTTAACCTACCATAACTATGTTTCAAAGATGAAAGAAGTCAGCCACTGGCCACATATTGCTATTTCATAAGCTAGTCAGGTAGAAGGATAACAACCATAGTATAATATCTGGAATTGTATCTATTGTATCTTTTTTTTTTTT